GTAGTATTGCAGTGTGCAATGATACCTTTCTTATTGGACTAACAAAATATATAAAAGACAAGCTTTCGAGAGTGAACCTCTCTTCTTCAGATCAGAAGCAATACTAAGCAACATGACAGTTTGTCACACACACACACACACACACACACACACACACACACACATATATATATATGACACATTTTTTTCCCCTTTTCTTTCACAATAGTATTGTTCACTATAATATTTGTTTTTTGCACATATTATTTGTTTACTTGTTGGGTGATAGCGCCGCTTCACATATTTGAATGATATTAATGCATGCTCATGCAGCCAATTTAGGTGAGCAGCTGTAAGGAGAAACGCCCAGTGTTCTTAGATTAATCGAGCGCAGAAGTCACTGTAGATAATATAATGTACTATTGGTGGGATTTGTTGTATTCCTCTATAGCTGGTGGTATTCTGTATTGTGCTGTATAATGTATTATTGCTGGGATTTGTAGTCCTCTATAGCCGGTGCCATTCTGCATTCATTGCTTGTAGAATTTTACACTTTCCATTTCACTATATTGCACACCACCCTTTTGTTTTTTTTACTTCCACCGCTCCAAGCTTGCTCCTGTGATGGACTACAATCTCAATACAAACTAGTAGTCCATCACTGGAGCCATTTTTTTTAAATCCAAGCAAAATATCGGTACTCGATACCGAAAAACCGGTATTGCTGCATCCTTTTGATTAAAACAATTTTTTTTTTGTAATGGGACAAGTAGATTGTCATGAAGGACTAGTAGATTCAGCCCCCGCTTTAGCCCTTGGACAAGTGTTTTCTTTTTTTTTTTTTTTAATTTCCACACCCCTGAAATAGATACCAAACATGCCCAGGTTAAAAAAATTGTGTGCGTCCGTGAAACCAACAAAATTCAGTACCCCAAAAAGTTCATAGACGACATTTTAAAAGCCCCCACAGGTTATCAGTTTAGAAATACGCTCAAATATTGGCTCTAGAATTATTGCTCTCACACCGGCATGCGCAGTGGTACCCAACATGTGTAGCGCGATTGTCATTTTCATACATTAGGTGCACCTGACACGTGTTTACGTAAAGACGTGCGTGCTTTTAAAAAAATGTTTACAATTATTTCTACATTTATTTCATTTTATATTAATGTAAAAATCCCCCCCCCTTTACTTGCTATGACATATGGGGGCTTACAAGCCCCGATGTGATAGCATATAGGCAGTGACAGGTACTCTTTAAAAGAGATACTGGGGGTCCAACAGACCCCTAGTAGCACTTTACACTTGAAAGAAGCTATTGAAGTGCAGATCACACTTCAATAGCTTATTGCTGGGCATCAGGAGCCCAGCAATCACAGCTATGGGACTGGAAGTGATGTAATCTGCATCGCTCCCGGTCCCAAAGTACAGAGAGGAGGTCAGTGAATGGAAGTTTACCGCTCTCCTCCCAGATTCCCCGACACCCGGGATGCCATTTACCGGCCCGTAGAAGCGATCTGGCGACAGCTTAGTTGCCAGAATCGCTTCTATGGTAAAGCGGGTCATTGGCATTACAAATGTAAACAGAGCGCCAGCGGTAGTCTGTTTAAACGGGTCCGATTCCACTGTACGTCACTGGTCATGAAAGGGTTAAAGCAGAACCCTGCACAAATCAAATCCTAACCCTTGCAGTGGGGCTTCCCCCCCCACACTGCAATGATTAAGTGCTCATTTTGTCTAGGAAGCTCAAATAACTAAGTTTTACTCACCTGAACTGTGATTCCGGCTTGAGGGAACTCCTAATATATACTTTTGTAAACTATCATTAAATAAAAGTAATTGCTATTTTTTTTGCTTTGTAACTGTGTTAATGGAGTTGCTTATATGAAGCAAACTGCAAATTATTTCAGCATTATTACCATTTAAAATTCACTGCACACACAGGAAGGCAACAGCCAAACATATCAACAACTTTCATAGGAAGGTCCAAACCACTGGAGGACTTGTGGAGACAGACTCCTAGGTCAGCTGATCCTACAAAAATATAGAAAGTAAATAAACAGACAAGGACCCCCTCCAACTTCATTGACTTAACATTCTTTTTAGATAATACATACAAAAATGTCCCTGTTAAGAGTTACCAGTAACAGCATTTCTACGAATCTTCCAGGACAGTAACCTGAGAGATGATTGGTTCCGCCTTCTACAGGAAACACAATTAGAACAGTTTAAAAACCCCTGCCACCCCCTCGTCCCTGAGTTAAAGACAACTGCACGAGGGAAGTCAACACCAAATACAAATCACAACAAACAAGGGTGGGAAGTAGGGTTGCTGTCCTGGAAGACTCCCAGAAATACTGTTACTGGTAAGTTTGACGGGGAATTGCTCCAAACATCTTCTAGGACAACAACCTGAGGAAAAGCAAGTAAAAAACAAGCCTACCTTCTATGGTGGGGCCACTGCCTGCAGAATATTTCTGCCAAAGGCTAGGTCTGGAGTACGTAGTCCTTCTTCCTTTCCTGTAAACACAGAAAAAAAGGTCTGCCTATCGAGGCCCTACAAGCCTGCAAACCTCTCTTGGGGTCACAAAAAAAGCAGAAAAAATATGACTAGATTTTCTAGTCTAGTCTTATACCTGAGGGGGCACCTCCTAACATCAAGACCATGAAAAGACTCCTCCCTAGACTCTTTAGGATTAAAACACAAAAGGGTAAAACAATCTCCTGGGTTTTAGGAAAACTATTGGCCACCTTTGGCAAATCCATAGGGTCGAAGTATAACCCTATCTGGCAAAATGGGAAGATGGGGTCCTTAATTGATAAACCTTGAAGAGCTTGCACGCTTGTAGCAGAAGTGATCATTACCAAAAAGGCCATCTTAAAAGGGACAACCATTTTACTGATGTAGCATCGATAGGCTCAAAAGGAGGTTTAAATAAACCTCCCAGGACCTTAGAAAGACCCCAAGGCAGAAAAACTTTTGCATGCAAGGGTATAGTTGTTTCACTAGGAAGCAGAAAACGCTTGAACAAGGGCTCCACTAAAAGCTTCTTGTGTAGAAAAACAGAAAGAGCTGATACCTGAACCTTAAAAGGGGTTCTAAACCCTCCGGTTTTTTTTGCCTATATCTACTGCTAGCAAGAAGTAGATATAGGCAAGAAGTTTAAAAAAACCAAAACGCTTGAACTAGTTTTAAACTTACCTCGTTATCGCTGCTCGGTCCCGCGCCGAGATTCAGATTTAAGGTAAGTGCTAACATTTACATGGGGGGGGTGAATTTGGCTTTAATGTCACTTTAAGAGTATCAAGCGCTAACCCCTTAGTTACCCCAGCCGGTAAAAAAAATCAAAATAACAGGAACAACAATGTCCTCTTTTTGACACCAAACAGAAAAAAACCTTCCATACCTTGCGGTATATCTTTCTTGTTACTAACTTCCTACTAGAAAAATGAGTATCTATCACTTGCAGGGAACACCTCTTCTCCTCTAGGATGTTCCCCTCAAGAACCAAGCCACCAATTGAAAGAAACTCTGATTGGGATGGATGCAGCACTGGGCCCTGAGAGAAAAGATCCTGTCTGTGAGGAAGAATCCAAGGAGGCTGAAGAGATCTCTTTTGAAGTTCCGTGAACCAAGACCACTTGGGCCACCAAGGAGCCACTAGGATGAGCCTACAAACTGACTGATTTAGCTTTTGGGGGATCCAAGGGAGCAGAGAAAGAGGAGGAAACGCATATCCTAGACCTAAATCCCAGATCTGAGACAAGGCATCTAACTCCCTGGACCCCCTCCCCCTCCAAAGAGAAAAGAAAGCCTAAGTCTCTCTGTTTGATCTTCTTGCAAACAAGTCTATTTCTTGTTGACCCCACTTCTCGACTATCTGGGAGAATACCTCCTCATTGATCTCGCTGTGGTGAATGGGTCTGCGACTCAGATCATCCGCTTTCAATTTGAAATCCCTTTATAGCGACTGCAGAGATGGAGAGAATATTTGATTCTGCCCATTGGATGGTTTCTTGCGCTACTTGCCACAGGCTTGGTACCACCTTGATTCAGATATGCTACTATCGTAGCATTGTCCGAAAAAATCTGTAATTCTCTGTCTACCAGAAAGGATTGAAAGGCTAGCAGAGCTTCCTTTACTGCTGACAGCTCTCTCAAAGTGGAGGAGGAAGTTACCAGCTCTGAAGGCCAAGGACCCTGAGGCGGATACTTCAGAGAATAAGCCCCCGAGCTCCATGAGCTCACATCCCTCGTCACCTTGAAAAATTCTGAAGACTCCTTCCATCTGTCCCATTGAGATAGTAGGAAAAACTGAAGAGGTCTCAAGTAAAGTTGAGCCCAGTTCAAATCAATAGCTGATGTCATTACCCCAAGAGGCTGATGATTTCTCTCAAGGACAGATAATGTGCCATCATGGCTGTGACGGACCGCCTGGTACCCCGACTGGATACCTCTGTCAGAAATCAGCTTCCACTCCGCTGGAACCCGAATTCCAGTGTCATCAGCCCAAACCTGCCTAATTATTGGACAGAACCAATATATTAGGACAGATCGCTAACCTCCTCAATCATCAGATAACACCAATGTTGAAGAGGAAATCAAGAACTGCTTTATTGAAGACCAGCTCAGTATTTATACAGTTCAAGAAGTCTAAAAACATAACGCAATCAAACATGAACAGCATGCAAACAGACATCCCCTCCCCGATGCCTTAATGAATGAATAGGGAGAGAAGAGACACATGTGATGGAATTATCTCCTAAGTGTCTATCATGGTAAATCGACTCCTCTACACCCGGAGTCAGCTACTCCTAGAGTCAGCTATCCTAATCCCATCATTAACACAATACAACAAAGGGACCAATAAACTGTAACAAGTTCAATGTCCAGAATTATCCCCCTTCAGTGCTGCTAGATTCCCAGCCTGTACCTATAATAAACACAGGGTCACTTAAATGTAATGTCAGGGAAAATATGCAGTACATCCCTCCACACATAAACCTAGGAGAATGGTTCATTGTAACCCCAAGAGGTCCGAGGGGGGTCTCCGTAGGTCCATAGTCAGTAGGAAGGAGGCTAGCCCTCAGGCTCCTCCAACAGCCCCAGTGACGGTTCAGTCCGTCACAATGGCTGCCTGGGATCAATCCAGAATCTTGGAAATCTTTTCTTTGGTAGGAAACAATTTTTGCACTACCGATTCTATCCGATACCCAAAAAAGACTCTGGACTGTGCTGGAACCAGGAAGGATTTCTCCAGGTTCAGGATCCATCCCAAGTTTGCCAACACCTCCCTATCTGCATGTTCCGTAAGACCTCCTCCACTGAAGGGGCATAAAAAAGGTAATTCATATAAGGAACCATCAAAAATTTCTGGAAACCTCTGCCAAAACTTTGGTAAAGATCCTTGGGGCTGCTGACAAGACCAAATGGCAAGGCTTGGAACTGCCAGTGAAAAATCCGCTTCTCTGTCTAAATATCAAATCTCAGGAATTTTCGATGCTCTTCAAAAATCGTAATGTGAAGATATGCGTCTTTTAAATCCAGGGAGACCACAGATTTTATGAGGATTGTCTGCAGCAAGTTAACTCTCCATCCTGAATTTGCTGAACAGTAAATATCTATAATTTTTTTCTGATTTAAGATCATCCTGAATTCTCTACCTGGTTTTGGCATAAGGCTCAGCAAAGTAGGGCTTCCGTCTTACGGTAAATATTAGAGATCAGATGGAACGTATCTTCAAAAGAAAGCTCAGCCCTTTTTGAAACTTGAGATAAGGCTGTGTCAAGCTTAGGACCTTTAAATATTTTTCCTCATCCTCCTTGCCAAAAGGGAATCTCCTTTTCCAGGATCCGAGTCAAAAAGTTATTTTCTGGATTCTTCCATTCCCCATTAACTAAATCTTTAAAGGATTGATGGATAGGAAAATCCCCAGTCTGAGGTTCCTGTAAACTTCTATAAACCCTATCCTGCACAGAAACTGCTCTAGGAGGGTCTGGAATCTGCTCAGTAGCATAGATCACCTGCAGAAGATAGTCCATATCTTCAAGAGGAAAAAGATGTCTTGCAGGGCGAGACTCCCCTGCCTCATCCACGGTCTCCCCTTCCTCCAAGGAACTGTTTGAT